GTACTACTACACACACACACACACACACACACACACACACACACACACACACACACACACACACACACACACACACACACACGCACACGCACACATACCCGCACACATGAATTTTTCAATTTCTGGTTTTCGTTTCGAGCATGAAAAATAATTTATTATTAAGTTTAACATGAAAAAGAAAGAAAGAGAGATTGCACTAAAAAACACTGCATAATATTTAATTATATTGAATCAAACCTGACAACACTACGTAAATAGAAATTGTTGAAATTTTTAACATTAAATATTTAATTTAATAACTGATTATGTATATGTATATGATAATTGTACAATGTTGAGATATTTTTATGCATGTAAAAAATATCTCTATTAATTGAGATAAGTTGATACTGTAGTAGTATTTATAGTGCTACTTCATATCTCCTCTTGTATAATATAACGAGACATTTCCATGCATCGTTTGGTCGCGCGTAGGTTTCCGCACGTTACGGAATGGTGACTCTTTTATTAATAAAGTTCATTAAATATCAAGTAAATATCAAGGATACAAAGAGCGTGAATCTCACGTTAGCGCACAATTACGCAGAAAATACCCTTAAAATCAATAAGCGACCTTACAGTCATTTCAAGACTATCCTACTTCTGATACGTTAAAAAAATATAACTGGCCCCTTTGTAATAAGCCCCTTCATTATGTGCAAAGTGTACGATATGACAACCCCTTTTTGCTCTCTTAAAACCCTTTTTTATTCTCGATAATGCTTGATAAAGTGATAAAGTATCTTTGAAAACATTTTTGGCATGTATAAACAAAATATCGAGTCTATTTTCTAAGAATATTTTGATTATTTATAAAATTTAAATGTTAATAAGAAAAAATTATATTGTTGAAAAATTAATCATTGTAATTATGGTGAATATAATAGATTACTTCTCGAAAGTGTACATCTATGAAATTTTTGCTTATACAATTTCGTTTTACAAAAAATATATTGAATCATTCCAGGTATACAACGAATTTTATCCAAACTTAAAAAAAAACGTTAAAGTCTTAAAAATGTTAAAAATGTTAAAAATCTTTTTTTTAAAATTTTTGTGAATCTAATATCTCTATCATAAAAATAAGTTTGCATGATAAAATTAAATGTTAATTTATTACTCCAATTTCAAATTTATCACCTCAATGCCTTCACAAGAAATTAATATCAAATTTGATTTACATTACGCCTAGCACGCCTATTTTTTTCGAAAAGAAAAAGAAATATTAATAATGTGAAAGATTTAAGCAAAAAGACATAAAAGTATATAAAGATACAAAAAATTAAATACATTCCCAGCGAAATAAAAGAATACATAAAAGAATAAAA